TAATGTGCCTAGAAAACACTATCTACCTGTATTTATAGAAGGCTTAAAGGAAAGGTGTTGAAAAGAAACCAAGGAAGACACCTGTATCAATAATCAGGTGGTGCAGAGGGAACCCTCAAAGGTGCCCTGAAAATTTTAAGATCTGTCATGGTGCACAAAAATGACAAAGGTTTTGATTGGATCATAGAATGAGTTCGCATGGTTTGGAGTGATGTAATAGATTTTAGGTTGGTATGGAAATGCACGTCCCACATACCATGTCTCGGTTATCTGTCTTGGGTCCAGATGTCACTTAATTTATCTAAAATATATATATGAGTCTTTCTTGGCACTTTTCTCAGTATAGAGGCGAAGTATGCGAAGTAACTATGAAATGTTATTGATCAATACCGTTTCTTTTGTTGCTGCTGTTTTGTGATATGTGTATAATAATACCTATGTTTGGGGAGTTAGAAGGAGTAAATCTAAGTGTCTTGTGAAAAATCCTTCCCATCCTTTCAAAGTGGGTGCAGATTTAAGGTTGTGTTGTGAAGCCTAGACTCCTGGAGAGAGGAAAGGTGGGTGCAAGTGATGAAAAGGGGAATTAGTGCAACACTTTTGTTGTTCTACCTTTACTTCTAAAATACTGTAAATGTTGACAGTTGTAGTATTTGTGGCTTCAAAAACATTCAGAAAATTTCAGAAGAGGAGTACTTAATAACTGTATCTTATATGAGATTTAATAAATCCTAGTATGTGTAAAAGAGCAATGTAATAAATATTATTTAATTTTGCTGAGTGAAACATTAAGGGAATGAGGAATTCTAGCTCTGTATTTTTCTTCTGCTGCCTGAGAAGGTCAGAGAAAAATGATTGTTTTCTTGACATGGAGTCAGTTTTGTGATGTCTTTGTTGATGAAATGTAAGATTTGTATAGTCCCCTCACATTTACATGGTCTAGATTTTTTTTTTATTTAAGAGGAAAAAGAGAAAAACACAAAACAAACCAAAGCGGCGTAAGGGTACACGCAATACAGAACTACAAAACAAAACAAAACAAAAAACCATAACAGTAAGAAATTACCTGCTAGTAGATTACACACTATTTTCTTGAAAACAGTTCCTCAAATCACAGTATCAAAGAACACAAGGTGGACATTCAAACAGGGAGACTGCAAACAGCTGTGTTCAATGTTCCAAAAACATTGATAAAGTCAGCTATTTAACACCCCCAAACACACTTGCTGTTATATCCGTTAGAGCTCTTTTTCTTTTTTTTTTTCCCTCTCTTTTTTACAACAAAATTTACACATCTTGGATTTTATTACTCCTTAGTGCTTATTACTTTCTTTGGGGGGGGGGGGAAGAATACAGTCAAATATGGCAAAACAAAGCTGTCAGTCAATACCAAGGATAGACATAGTGCAGCTTGAGACCATACTCATAAGTGAAATAAATCAATCTCGCATGTGTGAATACCGAATAGTTTCCCTAATGTAAGTAATGATTCAAATATATAAAAATATGTGGTAATCATGATTCCCCATTAGGTGGCCTTGAAGCCTTATAAAGTTTTCACTCATTAATTAGAAAGGCTTTATTCTGGGCTTCTTGATATGAAAATATTTGAAGCTAGAGTATATGAAGTTTTACCCAAATATTTCAAGGAAAAAGACACTATGGTAACTACTATTAAGTCAGGTTATAAGGTGGTGAAGTACTAGGTTATTGAAACAGTCATGCTGTGACCTCTATTGTTATATTGTTATGTCCTGTATTACATGGTCTAGATTTAGAGTGTCAAAATTGTGAGAACCCTCAGTAAGTTGGTTGCCAGGCTCCAAACTCTGTAAAATCTATGTTATTATTGTGTTTGTTATTATTTTCAATGTTGTATTCTGAATAAAGATGCTAAATTTTGGGAAAAAACTTTATAAAATGGAAAATATACAAAAGTGGTTGTAAAATTCTTGGCATGTAATTTATTCCAACCAAGTGCTTGCATATTTTTCTTGTGTTTTGTTGTGGAAGACACTTGTATCAATAATCAGGTGGTGCAGAGATAACACTCATTGGTGGCCTGAAAATTGTGCTGGCTTTTCACTGAAAGGAACAGGGGCTGTTGCTAGCTTTGTCAGAAGCTCAAATGTTGTGACTTCATAAGCTCAAATGCTGTGACTTCATAAGTTCAAATGCTGTGACTTCATAAGATCACATGTCTTACATACAAAGACGGGAAATCTGTCTGGAATCTATCTGTTTTCCAGATATCTCACCTCTTCCTTGATTCCGTTCAGAAAAGTGAGCATCCTTGTCCATAGCCTTTGACCCTGAGACACTTCAGATTGTAGTCCCCAGTTACAATAGTCACTGCTAGCTATTTTTAGCCTTCTATCATTTGTTATAAACTTTCTTATTTAGTTACAATTTTCAATTAACATACTGAATTTGTGTCTTTTCAAGCTTTAATGAACATATGAATTGTATTAAAATTGCCATTTTTGATTCTGTAAGTCTGGGATGGGCCTGGCTATGTGCATTTCATTTCAGGTGCTAGGTGTCAATGTTCTTGCTAATCTTAGAACCATTCTTGAAATAGCAAGGGTCATGATTCTGTCTAGATTTCTTGCTGAGGGTCATCTTTTTTCCCAATTTTTATTTTCTGTTAGTACGTGGTTGTAACACATGATTATACTACTTGTGGGGAACTGGCGCATGTATAGAACAAATCTCAATTCTATTTTCAATCTTTTCCTCTTCCATCCCTCTCCCTTCCCCATCTCTTGATTTCCTTCCCTTTTAGAAAATGTCTGACTCCTTAATTCTTATTACCTTTTATTTTGCTCTTTATTTATATCTTGCATTTATCATGTAAGAGAAATAATAAAATATTTCAGCTTGTATATCTGATTTATTTCATTTAACATTATGCTGTCAAGGTTCATCCATTTTTCTACAAATGACTGAAATTTACCCTTCTTATGGCAGAGTAGTACTCCATTCAGTATAAATGCATTTTCTTTTTTTGTAATTTTTATTTTAGAGAGAATAAAACCAAGCAAAATAAAACAGAATAAAACCAATCAAAACAAAACAGTGTAAGCGATATAGGACTTCAAAGGAAGACAATAGTAAATAATTAGTGGCCATAATGCCTCCCGTTGTCTTCAAAATAGCTGCCCATACCTTCAGACATAGTAAAAATCTAACAAAACAGAACAGAATAGAACCAATAAAAAACAGTGAATGTAATAAAGGACTTCAAAACAAGATGATTAAACACAAAATAGCTACCATAATATATCATGTTATCTTTGAAATAGCTGCCCATGCCATTAGATATAATAAAATCGAACAAGACAAAACAGAGTAAAACCAAACCAAACAAAACAATGAAAATGATACAAGACTTCAAAACAAGATAATAAGGAATTAACAATGGCTACCATCTTCAGAAGAAGATCCTCATAGATGCTGCATTGCATTTGTTATCCTCTAAATAGATGTCTGCAATGTCAGTGAAACACTATAACCACTACACGTGTTAAGATGTATTTTACTTCAATAGCTGTCATTGCAGACTGTTTTTCTCTGGATCAGCTGGTTGCTTACTGTAAGTGGCAGGTGGGGGTGGGGAACCTTGACTCTTCTTGTGTCCCAGCCTGTGTGCCATAATGAGCTAGCATCTGGTTCACTCCACAACACCCTGTTCATGGCGCTAGCTTGCAGGGAGGGCTTGGCTTCTTGTTCTTCTCCCCCACAGTCTGTGAATGATGCCAACTCATGGGAAAAGGCTGGCATCTGGGTTCTTCCCCCAGTGGCCTGTGCATGGTGCTGACTTGCACGAGGGTCGGGGGGAGGGAGAGAGGGAGGAAGGGGGCGAGCGCTTGGCTTCTTGCTCTCCTCCCCTATAGTTCGTGAATGGCCAGTGCCACATTTTCTTTATCCGTTCATCTGTTTATGGGATACAGGGGAGAACATCTGTTATAGGCCATTTGTAAGATACAGCTACTATGAATCGTGCTGCTATCAATATGGACATGCATTATCACTATAATGTAATGTCTTTAATTCTTTTGGTGAGGTGCTTAGAGAACAGTTGGATCAAACAGAATTTCTAGTTTTATTTTTTTCAGGAATCTATATTGAATGTCATGTTTTAAAATTTCAATAGATAGTTTCTCAAAAGTATAGCTAAATGTGCTTTATTAAACTTTTACATACTAAAATTCAAAGGGCTAGGGATTTAGCTCAGTGGCATAAGCACCTTCCTGGCAAAAGCAAGGTCTTGAGCTTGATCCTTGGTACCAAAAAAAAAAATTGGATTTACATACTAAAATTCAAAATCATCAATCAAAAATAAACCAATTTTCTGGCCACAACACCCTGATTTGTTTCATTCATTACTTCTTCAGGGAAGGTCTAATTGTAAATACTCTTGTGAGCAAGTGAAATCTGTTCTATTACTAGACAATATCCTAACTAAGACTGCCATTTGATTAACTTGTAAAATGTCTAGGTTCAGACTTGTGTTGTCTTAGACAGGGACCAGGTGTTAGGCAGACTACTTGGCTTATATATGATTCCAGCCTTTTAGATATCTCTAGGGCTTTGAATTCATATACATAAAATGGGAATAATTCTTTATTTGTCAAGTGATTATGGATATTTGTTTTATGAAAGGTGAAAAAATATGTAGTCATTACACAAAATGAAGACTAACAAATACTCAAGAAGATACTACATTTTAAGAATATAACTAAGTGGTTTCAGGTCTTTCAGGTTTTTGGTAAAAGGGATGAGATAGCAGATGAATTGAAGATGAAAACAGGTTTCCTAGCTTTTCAAAGGAGTTCATGAAGTTATCTGCTCTCTTCCTTCTTTAACTTGCAAGTTTTAGTTCAAAATTTTTACTAGAGCATGGATCTTTTTGTTTCTTCTTTTTCTAATTTACTGTAACATATGAGAAAATTTGTCAAAATATAATGATGTTGACCATTTCTCCTGTTTACTTTTTACAGATTACTCCTCTGCTGTTCAGAAGTTTTCCCAGACACTGCAGTCATTTCAGTTTAATTTCATTGGAGATACCCTGACTGATGATGAGGTTAACATTGGTAAGTCTCAACTCCATTTTTCTTGGGCCTCTTGTCTTGGACTGAAGCTGTGGAGGCTCCTTACTTTGTGGATGCAGAGCACTGAATGTCTTAATCCCCTGTGGGATATAGCTAAACCCTTTAGGAAGGCTAAGGAAACCTTCCTTGCCAGTGCCATCTCTGCTTCACCCAAAGCCAGTCAGGATATCTTGTACACCTTCACAGAGGGCTTTTGATTCTGTCTGCAGGGAGAACTTTTCTTTAAACCATGTAATACATGGATATTTTTGTAAAGGACAAAGAGTAATTTATTTATTTTCCAAAGTGATTAAACATAGGATTCCTCTAAGACACAAATTTCCTTGGATAGTTTAAAAATTAGAATTTTTCTTAGTGTAACTCTTTAGCCAACATGAGTTTGAGAATCTCCATTGAGATCTGTATTTAGCAAAATTCTTTATTAGCTGAGTGACATTTGGACAATATACTTATCCTCTTTAAGTCTCCATCTTGTCTTCTATTAAATGGGGCTAATGCCTTTATCTCTCTCACAAGGATATTACAAACAGAAGATTGAATAGTAGTAGAAAAGAAAGAAACTCTGTGTTTGCTTTATTTGTTATGAAGTTAATTAAAAGTCAGAAAACTATGACCATTTAGTCAAATATAGCTTACTATCTACTTTTGTAAATAAAGTTTTATTGGAATACAGTGACACTTATTCCTATCTATATCATCTATGGATATTTCCCACAGTACAATAGCAACGTTATCTAGCAGTGACAGTGACTAGTTGGCTCTCAAAGCTTAAAATATTTACTTTCTGATTTGTTAAGAAAAAGTTACTGACCCTTGAGTGAGTTAATTTACAGCCTTCTGCCACATGAGAACATTGAATCACAGAACTATTATGAATGACCTAATCTGGTTGGAAAAAGTTGGTGATATAATCATATTTATGACTGTTAGAAGGTAAAATATAAAAATGTATTAATAAATGCTCACTGTAATAAATTGGAATAATATATAAAAGTATAAAATAACATGATAAAGGGCTATTCCTGCAGAAGCAGCGTTTAGGATGTACTGGTATATTAAGTATTTTACTAAACATGTATCTGTTTTCTTTGTATGTATTTAGTTTATATTAAATACGTAATATTATATTTTTACCTAACATTTTATCATAAACATTTTCTCATATCACTTAAAAAATTTTTTAAGTTCAAAGGTGGACAAGAAGGTGATTGTTTTGTTTACTATTGTCTCCCTAGTGCGTAGGGTGCCTGACATAGATGCTCAGTACATCTTTGCTAAGTGAATGAATAATATATTCATTATTATACTAGCTATACTTATTTAATATTTATTTCTGGAAATTTATCTTAGTTCTAATTGTTTACTATTATACATAGTATTACAATAACTTTTTTAATGAAAGTACAGTTGTCAGGTAGATATTTGTATTCAGATTGAGTTCTCTTTATTCTACTTCTGGAAATCTACTCTAGTCCAAGAGTATGACTTACTTAAACATTAGGGGAAAAAGTGGTACAAGTTACTAGGATTCAATTCTGGGTTGTGGTTTTAGATTTGTGCTTTTAGATTTGATATTAGATGCTCAGAAGGCCTTTCCATAATGGAATTTTCAATATGGCTCCAAGAGATACCTCAGTAGCACACATCAGTAATCTCTGAGATAGCAGTATATGATTCTAGAGGATGTAGGGGAAAGCCTGAGGATTTTCTGGATTTCCTTCCCTTGGTGATTAGCTCTAGGAGTCATTTGAAATGATCTGTATATGAGATGAGGGAGGAATTTCTTATTGTCCAGATCTTAACATTTGTCACAGCTCTGAAGCAAAATATCCATGCTTTCATTTGGTATTGCTTGGCCTTTTCTCTACCAATGTTGCTCAGTTGCCAATGGTAATGCCTGAAGTTTATATAGTACTGTATCTGCTTTAAATTTGAATTTAGTTTTTTAACAATAGGATATTCTAGTGTTTCCTTTTTGCCAATTTATAATTTTTTTATTTTAAAGAGAATAAAACCCAACAAAACAAATCAGAATAAAGCCAATCAAAACAAAGCAGTGAAAGTGGTACAGAACTTCAAAACAGGATAAGAGGAAATCATCAATGGCTACCTTAATATATCTTGTTATCTTCATACTAGTTGTCCTTTCCATCAGATACAGCAAAGGCAAACAAAACAAACCAGAATAAAACCAATCAAAAGGGAACACTGAGTAAAATAAAACAATAAATTGGAACAAAACAAAACAAGGAAATCCCAGTTACTGGCTGTATTGTGTATTGTTATCCTTCTAATAGATGCTCAGACTACCAACCTTAAATCTGAACAGTTAATCAAATACAAACATTTATTTGTTTTTGTACCTCCATGATGAGCTGGCTGGTTACCGGGGTATGGAGGGGCCTTCTTGATCCTCAGTCTATGCACCAGTTGGCTCACAGAAAGTGCGAACTGGCTTATTTCTTCCTGGGCCCTGCGTGGTTTGTGTGGCTTACCAGAAGGGCAAACTGCCTTCTTGTGCTCCTCCTTGAACCAGCATGGCTTCTCCTACTTTTAATATTTTAATTCACATGTAGGACTTGATTTCCCTGCCCCCTTCTTTTTCTCTCTCTCTCTCTCTCTTTTTTTGTCTTTTTCGTTCTTATCGATACCAGGGATCAAACTCATGACCGCACACTTGCAAGGCAGGCGCTTATGCCGCTGAGCTAAATCTCCAGCCTTGTACTCTATCTTTTTATGTCTGTCTGTCTCTTTCCATGTGAAATACTATCGATAGCCCTTTTATTTTCAAAGGGCTATATATGCATAAGGCATTAAATCCCAAAAAGCATAAAAACATTGGTGACAAGGGTGACTCGCTCACCCTTTCCAGTCACCAAGGGTTCCTTCAGAGAGACAATCACTATTACCAGTTTCTGTCCCACCAGCACTACATTCTACAGGATGTTTCAAAATTTGAGTTGGCTATTGTAACTTACAGTGAATTTGAAAGTGTCAAAAAAACCCCAGGAAGTGATGACCACAGTCATTTAATCAAAACTGGCTTTTCTGATGTAGAAAGATTTTCAGGAGTGCCAATAGTATTCTGTTTGTTGACTAGGATGATAGTTATACTTTTGATAGACTTAATGCAGTTCTGTGTATATGTTTCATGTAATACATGTGCACATATAATATTTAAAAAACAACTGAAAAACTGATGATCTTAATGACCAGAAAGAAAAGATGGAAAACAAAATTGATTCACAGCAGTGTTCTCAGTGGTTTTGATGTGAGTCAAGAAAATAATATCTTCAAAGTGCTGATTTAAAAAAATCTGGAACTTCATATTTTTCAAGAATGAAAAAGTATTGAATGCAATTTTTAATAGATTGAAGGAGTTTATAGTAAAATATACCAAAATAAACTAACTTGTTGAGTCTCTGTTTCCCTCTTCTGTAAACTAGGAAATATTATCTACCTTATAAGGTTATGTGGAGTAAATCAAGTAATTAGAGAGTATATGTCAAGGTACATCATTTAGCTCAGTATCTGGCTTATAGTTAGTCCTTAATAACTCATTCATTATTGACCCTATCAAGAAGCTGGTTGACACTACTTTGTGGGAAAAGGTATTGATTTGCAATTTTATTTCCTAAATCAACTACAAAATGAAAAATGTAGAATCATAAAATGACAGCATTTGCAGAGCAATTAGAGAATATATAGTTTAGTTGTTTCTAATATGTCTTCATATCAGAATTATTTGGCAGTCTTACTGACCCTAAGTCCCAGAACCATTTTTAGACCAAAAGAATCAAAATCTCAATAGTGGAATTTAGGGCCCTGGTTTCTATTATCATCATAATTTCAATGAGCATTTTGGAACCTCAGGGAACATCCCAGCTCTTTCAAACTGTTCATGGATCAGCGTCACCCATCTATTGAAGTACGCATGAAGCAGCAGTGTATTTGTATTGGGTTTCCATGTAAGAATTTGCTTAAACAATGGAATTTTCAGATAAAAAAAAGAAGCTAATAAGATTTAGCATTTATAAACAGAGAGTGATAGAGAAGAGGGGACAAGGGGGAGGGGGGAGAGAATGAGGAAAGGGGAGGAAAGAAAGCTATTTCATCCCTATTCAGGTGGGGAAACTGGGCGCACAATTAGGAAAGTGATTGTTAAAGATCACACACAGTTAGATCGTGTCAGGATTACTACTAGATCAGCAACAAATTTTTATTGAGCATCTGTGCTATAAACTCATTTTTTATGGTGCGTCCATTTAGGTTAGTTTGGAAAGTATCTTTAGGAAGATGATTCTATATCCTCATACTACTGAAGCTAGAAAGTAGATTGTTTCTGACATTATCATAAGGGAATCTGATTGTTCTTTTTGGTGAGGATTCCTGGTTGCTATTTTCTCATCAGTAAATAAATAGTATCCATTAAGAATCATAGAATAGGAATTCATAGACATATAACACATTGCCTGCCTTCTTTCTGTTAAAGGAAGCAGATGAGTAAATAGTCTCTTGGAATGCAGTATGATAAGTACTGTGGTAGAGGTAAGCATACAGTAGCTACTAATCCAGATTGAGATGTGTGTGTTGGGGAGAATAAATAAGGAAAACTCAGCGGAATGATACCTGATTCTTTTTTATGGCAAGGGTGGGGTGTGGGAGGGCATCACATGGATGGGGCTCAGACTGAAGGAGGCACTTACTCTAGGTTTGTGCATACTGGAAAGAAAAATATGCCTTCATAAGTTTTGCAGTTTAGGTGCCCTACTTGACTCACTTATGTCCTGATCCTTTCTGTGTTGAATTTCTTTTATGGTTCATACCTAAAATGTGCACCCCAAAACTTATGTTTGGAGGAGACCTGTGAGTCAAGTAGCTTTTGAAAATACTAGCATTAAAAAGAAGCTGAGTATTTTGCATTAAAGTCATAGGAAAAATGGCTTGAAGGTATCTCCAGAATCAACAAGATCCTACTCATT